AAGCTTTCACACCTCTGTGGGGATTCTCAGTAGAGATTGCACAAAGAAAACACACACACCCGGAGGAGGGTCTGTGATGTCACTATCTAGAAGCCTGCTGTATCCCTGTCTGAGAGTGTGTGAGAGTGCGTCACATCAGAAAAACGTCAAGCAAGCATGCACGGCTTTTTCTGTGTCCTTTAGAAATTCCAGACATACTTTAACCGCTGCCAAGTATCAGAATGAGGAATCTGTGGACAAACTGTTCTTGCAGACCTCGATGTTTTCTTCCTGTTGCCGTGATTGTGTGCTTTTGTGTATATATGGTCACACATTCACCGTGTGTGAGAAATGCCGGGACTTCCACTTTACGTTTATGAAAGCTGCCTTTTTTTTTTTTGGTGAAGCTATGCAAGCGCTCTCGTCTCCACGGGCCCTGTGTTTACCGCTGGTTTCCATGGACACCAGCCACTGACGCTGTACATTGCCCTCTGTCTGCGTGTGGGTAAATTACCACTTATCTGAGTCAGTAAAATGCCTCAAGGGGCTTCACACCTCGAAAGTCAGGAAACTTTCCCACTTTCGTAACTGACCAGCTCCAACCTCACCCTGTGCCGGTTCATTAAGCCCAAGCTGAAACCGATGTAGTCTTACATAACAGCTCTGCAATAAATGCTGCAGCCATGGAGGTGATAATGCTCAGCTTTTGCTTCCATCAAAAACTGCTAAGTGCAACAAAAAACATCCAACTTTGGAATGGCCACAAAGGGAACAAAAAAAAGCACAGAGTGTGTTTTGAATTTTCTGAACTTGTTTTACAGTAACACCAAAAGTCTGGTACACAGATGACGTGCATGGCTACTTTTTTCCAGTAAAAAGATGACAATGAGGAAGTTTTGGTGTGCAGTGCATGTTTTACGTAAAGATCCTGGAGTTGCAGGACTATATTTAGAAGCCGAAACAAGGCAAATTCTGGAAAGTATCTATTTTTGTGGCGTGAGCTTTCAATTTTGGGAAATGCACACATTTCCTTTCCCACTGATTAACGAAAAGCATCGAGTTCTCTGTACACAAAGTGTGAGTCTGAAGCCAGTCGATGGCCTAACTCGTCTGAAGCAGGGTTACACTTGGCCTGCATTCAAAGACACACCTCTCTGCACCTTTCAGACATGAGAGCTATTGTGCACAATCTGTACGCAAACCTGTTCAAGATCAGCCCTGATTCCTAAATTAGCATAAAGACACACCCTTAT